CTGGCGAACCGACCATTTTAGGAAAACGGGCTGTTTCATCAGAAGGTTTGCAAAAGCTTCCGTGCTTCCCAAACACAGCATCTGAGAACGGTTCCACCTCGAGACAGAACCAAACCCCTAAAACCCACCGTGAGCATCACAGAAGCTGGCAACCACCATCAAATTTCGGTTTTCTGGGGAAACACGGTGAGGCCTTGTCACCAACCTCCAAACCTCTTCTCGCTTTGCCTTTTCCTTGGTGCCGCGGGGACCTCAGATCATCACGAGGTGGAGGTCACGGGGTCAAGGCCACCCCCCAACATGGTCAGCTCAAGGCCCACAGCGCGTCTCCAACTCAGGCCCTCTGGCTTCTCTCTCCTGCAGGCGGATGTCGGGTGAGGTGAGGCGGCGGGGTTGACAGGGGTCCCCTAGCTGTGGGTCAGGGTCAGAGGCTGCCGCTGTGTGGGGGAGGGACCACAAGCCGGCAGGTGAGCCGGCAGGAAGGCCATGAGCGTACCCCAAATACTTCCATTGGGTGCGAGTACCAATGCTGACCTCCAGAGGTGCGGCCCCGCCAGGCTGGGGCCATTTAGAAACGATTCATGATTTTTACGGAGTGGTTTTTTATTTTTGGTCCCCCAAACACCTCATTTTGCAGAAAACACACTTCCGGCTTCCATCCATAGCTCACTGCGAACAAGGCCCCGCCTTCGCTGGCAAATCTTTTCTGGAACGACCCACTGTTTGTCTTATCCCGAAGCCAGCGACACCGACTTTCTCCTGAGCCCCCGGGCCTTCCCCGGGCTCGGCTGCTGGAGCCTCTGCGGCCCCACGGGCTGGCCCCCTCCGGGCAGGTGCACTGTCTGCGCTCAGAGCTCAGGCCCCAGCGCGAGGAGGGTCCCCCCGGCCCAGCCCTCCGGGTGCACGGAGCAGGGTTCTCCCGCTGCAAGTAGGTGAACAGTCTCAGGCTAACCTAAGCAAACGGAACTCATCGTCGGAACTAGGGCGCTTGCCCTGTTGACAGGAACAGTTTGGAAACTGGCGCTTTGCCGAGGGCCGTGCCAGGGGCTCAAGCTCCCTGGTGGGGCCCAGGCCCCCATTATCCTGTGGATGGGGCTCTCGGTGAAGGAGAGGAGGACCCGGAGCCCCAGTTCCCTTCAGCGGCAGCCCCCGCGCCCCACTGCTGCTTCCGCGCCCACCGATGCGCACTGTGGGCCACCTGGGGCCGGGCTCTGCGGGACTCGGGGCGCAGGCATCCTCAGCGGGGCGCGCTCCGCTCCTGCCCCTCCCCCGTCCCCAGTCCCATCCTCAGGGGCCGAGGAACCGCGCACTCAGGCCTCCTGCCGGGCTGGGACCCTCACCCACGTCGCTTTTCCTGCCTCGGGCAGTCCACCTACCTGTCACCCAGCACGGCAGGGGGGTTCTGTTCCTGGTGACGAATGCCGCGTTCAGAAAGGCTGTCCATGAACTTCTCAACAAGCACAGTCTTCACGAAAGAGCTTTGCGCGGCCCAGGCCCAGGGAACACGCACGTTTTCTCTGTGGGCTCCGAGCTTCGCGCAGGGGCACTGGCTTCTTCAAGGCTCTGCGCCCCAGCTCTTCCCGGAAGGCAGTGCGGTGGCTCAGGACCCTGGCCCTGTGGCCCCCCCCGCCACCTAGCTTTGGAGCCCGATCTGCCCCTTGCCAGCTGGCTTCCCTGGGGGCAGGTGTCTGCACCTCTCTGGGCGTTTCCTCATCTACAAACCGGGAGCCCTGACTGTGCTGCCGCCCAGGGCCTGGTGGAGTCCCGTGGACTGACACAGGCCAAGAACACAGAAGGCCGCCTGGCCAACGGTGGTGTTCAGTAACCGTCCGCTGCCTTTGACAGGCAGGCGCATTGGCATCCTGGGGACGGTGGGAAATGCGCAGTTTTCAGTGTTATATTTATGGACAGTGGAAGATAGGCCGTCGATGGCGGCAGGGGAAAAGAGAAAAATGAAAACGTTCTTACCTCTGGCTCGTTGATGGCAGTGCTGGCTTCTGGAGCAAGAGGGCCATTTTGGAACTACAGGCCCCGGTGCTCCCTGCAGCCGGCAATCCGCCTCTCCCCAGGGCCGGCCTGCCTTGCCTGCACGTGGGAAGCACCTGGGTAGCTTTCAAAAAAGAAGCGGATGCCTGTCCCAGCCCCCAGAGATCCTGTCTTCGTTGGTCCGGGCGTGGCCGCAGCACTGGGATCTGTGCGCGCTCCCAGTGATCCTGAAATGCACCGCGCATGGGGGAGAGTCACCCTGTGACGCACGTGGGCATCTGGAGAGGGAAGCCTCTCCTGGGGGTCAGGAGGGAGGCCTTGCTCCGGCCTGCATTCCCGCCAACCAAGGCTAAGTCTGGTAGGGAGCAGTGGATGGAGCCTTTGGGGCACGGCCAGGTGGTGGGACTACATGGCCAGGTGCCCCCCGCGTGCGTCTCCCCGGGAGAGTGTAAATCCCTCTGACCTCAGCCCTGCTCTGTGTGCGCACCTGCATCTCCCCGGGAGCGGGGTCTGGGACAGCTGCGTGTGTGGTTGAGGCCTGCACTGGGGTTCATCTTTACAGCCCTAGAATTCACGAGTCATTTCATCGATACTTGAAGAAAACCACAAGTGAATAAGGAACAAAATGATGTTTTTATTAAAAATCGTACCCATAGCACCTCTCTGTCTTCCTACAAGTTTTTTTTCTTTTCTTTTCTTTCTTTTTTTTTTTTAACGAGATCTGGTTTTCTGCACAATTCCAGAAAACGTTGTTGGGAAAACTTGAGGATTGACCTAAACTCTCCATAACCCAGAAGGCGCCGTGGAGGGGAGATGAGGCGTGCCTCCGCAGACTAGCTCAGTTCACAGATGGCTACAGTGTTTCTGCCTTCCCGACCCCTGGTCCATGCTACAGGGATGCTGCATTAAGGACAGCCAGATTGGGATACGTGGATGGATTGCTCATTGGGAGAATAACTACACTGTGTGCCAAGAATTCGTAAAAACTAGAAACCATGCTACGATCCATTACGCAAACACCATGCTTCAGTCCAGTCGTGATCAAGTACAAGCCCAGCATCAAAAGAAGTTTACAGAGCACGCGTGACCCTTCCTCCTGGCGGCGTGGACATTTTCGCTGGCCGTGGGCCTCGTCCCTCACTCGCGGGGGCATGGGTCCCCACCTTGCCCTAGGCCACACCGTCCTCTGCTACGACGTTTCATCGCATACTCCTTAAAAGCTTGGCCGTGAGAGCAGCGGAGGGGAAGGCTGGGGGAGGAGGGGCTCGGTGTGAGCCGATTTATCCAGGAGGGGGTACACGAGGCCATGCTGATGTGCTTCACGCCCGCTGGGTGTGGGCACTGCCTGCAGCCGCCCCCGCCGCTCACCTGTCTGGGCAAGCGGTGCTCCGGTGCCGGGCGGAGAGGGGCAGCCCCGTGCATGCCCAGCCCTGCGGCTCCGACAGACAGCCCGGCCCCTCGTGGCCGCTTCGCTGCTTCACCCCCACCTGTCAGCTCCATCTCCAGTGACCCACCTGAGCGCGAGCCTGGGGCGCTCAGCGGCTGGCCGGGGAGCGCCCGCATGACGTCATTCCGGAGGACGGCAAGAAGCGGACGTCTCATCTTGTCTTGGTTCAATGTTGCTTGTTCGTGTGAGATAGTTTTTTTTCCTCCGTAAGGGTGAGAGGCCGGGAAGTGACGCTTGTCCCCGCGCCACTCTGGGGCGGGGGTGGGGGACAGACACCGGACTGCGAACACCCTCTCTTCCGCTGGGTGCAGCCTCTCCCCAGGGCCCGGCTAACAGCGGGTCTGCAGCCAGGGTAGGCTCAGCAGTTCCACGCAGGGCAAGTTCAGGAAGGGGAGAGAAAGCACAGGGAAGAGGATGAGCCTTGAAAAAGGTGTCGTGTCGCGGCAGAAACCCCCAAGGCAAAGAACACACCTCAAACCAGGTCCTCATTCCAACACGTTCTAACATTTTCCCCCGTTATTTAAAGCAAAGTCCATATGGCTTAGAGAGCGAAGTGCACGGAAGGCAGGGTTTGTCCGAGTTCTCTGCTGGCGCCTGTCTTCCAAGAAGTTCCGCCTGCGTCTCGGGCCGAGAGCAACGAGCAGGGGCTCCGGACCTGAGGGGCGTCCTGTCCCGTGAACTCTGGTGGGTGATTCTCACGCACAAGTGGCTTTGGGCAGAGCATCTAGGATTTTTGGTTTAGACTATTTCTGCTTCTACTCAGAAAAAGGCGGCAGGAAGGAGAGAAGGAAGGGAAGGAAAAGGAGGGGATTGAGAGAGAGAGAGAGAAAGGAACCTTCCCTCTAGTTTTGGAAAAACTGAAAAGGGGCTTTTCACCCAACACAAAACTCTCCTCGGTCTCCTGGGGCCACAGGCAGCCTCTCTGAAAGCAGAGGGCCCCATGGAGGTGTAGAAGGAAGACAGCCGAGTAGACACCACACGCTCTCCGTGTGGCCCGGAGACAGGCTCCCCACCCTCAGGGCACCGCAGCTCATCTGGGAGGACAGCACCTGCCTCGCTCCCCTGGGCCTTGGGGCTGTCAGCAGGATGCTGGGCAGTGTGTCACGGCCACACTCCTTCTGGCGAGGTGGGGACACCGGGCCCTCCCCAAGCTCTGGGCGCAGTCTGGCTGGCACCAGGGGCATGCCGCGTACACCGGACCTAGGCTCTGGCCTGGAGGGTCGGCCCTGCTCCGCAGCCACATCAGACCCCTCTTGCAAGAATACTGTGATGGCTGGAACCACAGCTACAGTTTGGACTCTCGAATTTTCAACGTAGTTCATGCTATTTTCATGTAGCTAAAAAACTAAAATGAAACAGTAGCAAAGGGGAAAAAAAAAAAATTTCCAGGAAACCCATCAAGGCTAGAAGCTGGGCTCGGTCGGGGTGGGGGATGCAGCGGCGCTGGAGGGCAAGGCAGTGGGCAGCAGGCGGAGCAAGGAGACCAGGGGGCCACGCTCAGAGAAAGGCCGGCGCCCACCTGTGCAGGAGGCCTGGTGAGGAGGAGGCAATTCGGGGCCTCGTTTGCTCAGAGCTGTTTTGCTTTATTTGGAGACACTGACGCTTTTCGTCTTTCTCATGTACAAAGCTAAACAATAAAAAGGCACCTGGAGACAGCAGAGACTCATTCATTTCATGTGGCATATTTTAAAAAAAGATAAAAAGATTTAAAAAATACTCTGGTTAACAATGCACACCTCTTACACAACAAGCAATTCTGCAAGCGCCGCCCGGTTCTGTCTGGGTTAGCGGGGTTGGCCGTGTGCTGTGTTCTCGGGAAGGAGCAGGCTCGCTGAGTGAGGGCCGGCGTGGGGCCTCCAGCCCGGGGTGGTTTCCGGCTCTGCACCGTCGGGTTTAAGGACAGAAAGGAAGAAAACGGCCCAGATGTTTCACCACTGGGGTGACACGGTGCAGCCAACGGGGTCATCACCGGGTCAGACGACCCCACCTCGCAATCTCTCGCCCCCTTGCCAGGAACCTGGAAGCTGATTCCTTGCCTAGAAACTGCGGAGGGAGAGTATTTCCGAGGTGGATGCAGTCGGGTGGAAAATCGCGGAGCCCAGGGCAGACTTCGCTCTGCGGGCGGGGAGGCGGCCAGAGCCCAGCCGGGCGGTGGCACCAATGGGGAGCCCGGCGCACAGTGGTTCTCTGGAGGCACAGGAGGTGGAGAAGAGGAAGGAGCCGTCTGGACGCAGGCTCCCTCCATCCCCGCTCTTCCTCCCCCTGCAGCCTCCCAGGTTGGGCGTGGGACGGAGAAACCCGGGGCCGGGGGGCTGGGGGGTCTGAGGCCTTCCCGCCATTGCACCACGGAAATACACCTTCTCATAAAAAGAAAAGAAAACAAAGAAACCCGCTTCCTGCAGTGATGTTACAAAAAGCCGTTAAAAAAACCTTCCTAATTGAAATCTAGTGTCCACAAGTAGGTAAAATCATCACTTATCAGAATTCTCTTTAAACAAAAGCTCGAGCTCAGTTATTGGAGTTGATTGTCTTAACAAAAGGAGGCTGGGAGGTCCGCCGAGGCCCCGCTGGGGCCGTCACACGAAGGAGGAGAAGCCGGTGAGCGGAGTCCGGGCGCCAGGGCCCGCGGGCGCGAACACGGCGCTCTGCGTGGTGACCACGGTGTGCAGGTGCGGCCCCGCCTCGCCGCCCGCCACCGCCTCGTACCTGTGCGGGGCGCGCCCGCCCGGGGCCCGCCGCTTCCACGAGTTGTAGTAGGTGGGGTCGCTCATGTAGTGGTTGACGAAGGAGTGCTGGGGGGGCGCATCCTCAGACTCAGAGTCGGTGCCCTGGGGGGACAGCGAGGTGTGAGCAAGCACACGGAGGGGGAGG